CTCGACGAGTTCTACATATTAACGGTTCAGATTATCAAAATGAGACCTGTGATAAACCCCCACAAGCCGAACAGCATTGTTCTGTGTATCATGAGAAGTGCATCCAGCTGTCTAATGTGTACCAACAATACTGCAGACAACACATCACTTCAATACACCTTTTGACTTGTACTTTTTTTTGTAAATTTTTTTTTTTTTTTGTGTATAATAATAACTTTTTGATTTTTTTAACAATTTTCTGATTTTTTATCTTTTTGCATGATGCCAAACCAGCCCTTAATCTTCATGATTGTTTTATCTCCTAGGAAAATAAAGTGGATAATTTTAGAAATAAAAAGAGTATCAATCAATTATATATTGCCCAATTAAAGACAAGCATGACAGAATCGTAACTATTATGTTATGAGAATAATAAATGGAAAAACACACCCGAAAATTTTATAAAATAAAATTTTATAAGACTTATAAGAATCAATTGATTCATAAAATAAAAAAATCTGAAATTAAAAATATATAAAGATAGATAAGTGCTGTGATAAGTGATTTCACGTGAACAAATAAAATTAAAAATAAATACACAAGTTAAAAATGGCATGACCATGTGCAACACAACCAACTAATGCACATGTAAGGCGCCATCCCTCTTTTCTAGTTTTGTTTTCTGGGTTCTGCTGTTTTTTTTTTAAAAAAAAAAAAAAAAAAAAAAGGAATAATATACAAACACGAGAAGCCTTGACAAGATCCAACATAATGAGAAATACACCGGTGGCATTCATCTGGACCACAGAAAAGCAAAACAAAAAAATTAGGAGAGTAAATCTACATTCTACAACCAAGTGATCAAGGAAGAAAACATTGTGTAATACCAGTCCGTTAAGGGGCAGATCGGGGCTAAAGGGCAAAGTTGCTATCTCTTGGCAAATATTCTTTGCAATATTGTCTTCCATTTCACACCTATCTTCTGGAGATTCTCCCAGTCCAGCAATGTGCTCTAATCTCATTGAGGATCCAAAACATCTTGACCAACTGGTTGACCTGTCGTACGTCTGCAAATATGGACACATAATATGAGAGACACATAATATGAGATGATAGGCGGGTATCAAAGAATATGCTTTGGTAATAAAGATTTCAAATTTGGTTCTGTTGTATAAGTTTACCTATTCTCAGATAGGCGTTTTTCTTGGTCTTTCCCTCCATTCATATTCTCCTAATTCAGAGCTTCAGCAAATGTTTAAGTATTCATTCCGGCTAAATACATCATGTACAAACAGCATTTCAGATCCATAATAGAATTGTCCAACAGCCAGAAGACATACAAGCCATAATGCATTCTCATTATACCAAAAACAAAAACATAAAACAAACAAACAAACAGAAAGAAAAAAACAAAAGCCTATGTTTTGAGATCACAATAATATTCTTTTTGCATTCATTTTTCAGTTCTTCCAACTATCATGAACATACACTGACAGAATAAGAAAAGGCTCACATCTATTGCTGTGAAATGTAATGCCAAAATATGGTATGCTGATCATCGCAAAACCACTAGTTTCAATCAGCACAAGGCAAAAAAGGGTCAAATTCCATTGACAAATAACTGCATTCTAGGAGCTGTTTTCTCTTGCAGCCACTAACAGCACCACAAAGAAGTCAGCAAAATACAAATACAAATGTTGAATACTGTGTTGATTAAAGCTCATACATATAGCGAGGACAGCGAGAAGAGAAAGAAGAGCTTAATAGAAAACCAGGCTTCTCTAGTTAAGTGCAGCTACCTCTCACAGAGTCTTCATTTGGTTTCTCTTGGGACAGACATCTTGCCACAAATACATTTCCAACAAAAAATATAAAGACGCGTAAATCTAAAACCAAATATTTCATTTTTGTTAATCTATGATTTTGATAGTATTTTTTTCTCTTTCAATGTGCTAAGAGTGTGGATCTTGGCTTCTAAGCTTCCCAGGAGGCACACCCCTTAATTACATTACACTAACGACTGCCTGTCAGAAAATAATAAAACATTCACCCCAGTCAATAGGGAGCCCAAAAAATGCAGTAAGAAAGAAAGAGAGCAAGAAATGAATCTCTCAAATTTCTACCCACAAACCTAATCTTCATACCAAAGGTATAGCTATGTTCAAACAATCCGTCTCCATAGTCATTGCCAAAACTCTGGTTTAACAAGATAAAGTAAAGCTGCAAAAGCAACTCTTCCAACCAACCTGCAGAAACACACACTTTTGAAGTTGACACCAGCCCAAAGCATATTGAAGTCCAACCACAGGGCTGCTTCTGAAGGTGACGATTAAACATGACCCAGAACCACTACCATGGGAATTAGTTTGCTTCCCGTAGAAAACACAAGCTGCTCTGGAAATCATTGCTTTGGCTATAAGACAGTCCGTGTCAAAACATGCTTTCCAAGTGCCAAGCAGCAAAATAAATGAGTGCTCGGGAATAATATTGCTAGCCATAACAGTCACTGACTTAAGCTTCTATCTAACGTAACTTCATCTACATTTCACAGAAAGCCATCGTCCGGAGATAATTTGAAACCCACCTCAGGTCCTTATCAGATGCAGCCACTATTATATTAGGATGATAAGAAATGGGATAAAGTATTACACACTAATTGCTTAAAACTTTTTTTTTTTATTAGGCAGGTTAAGAAGACTCAAACTTAATTCTCTTTATTGGGAAAATGCAACCTAAGCCACTGGGGTAGCTGCATAAAACTGTTAAAATGGGCTTTGACATTGATTCACTTGTAAAACAGAATACATTATAATAAACAAGCAGATATCATTGCCCTTAATTAGCACAAGTCATTAAAAAAAATCAATTTTACATGCACTTACATGTGCACAATAAAGGCCAGCATTCAACAAGGGAACACATTCCTGCCCAACTGTCTTTGCATCACCATTCACAACCAAGAACCCTACCAATCAAGCCTAAATCAATTCAAGCCCCCTTCTCCACTACCTCTTGCCCTTCAATTTTACAATTAAAACTATAAAATAATTATTACCAGAAAATTCCAAGCCATTATTTTCCCTCCAAATCTACATGAGTAGATGTGTGGCACTGGCACTACCTTTGGGAACAGGTGGCAGCTATGAAATGACTCTTTTCTTAATTCTAGGAGATGCAAATATACAAAGGAAAGGGGGATAGGGTAGTCAACTATATCCAAATTCATGGGTTGTGTAGTGCATTAGAGCTTATTCCTTACATTTCGAAAAAGGAGATTTGGAATTCCTAAGATGGAATTGTTCAATAAGGCCTTCCATTGTTGGGCAAGTAGTTGTGGAGGTTAGCTTGAAAAAGGGAGAGTCTTTGGAGGAGGGTGATTGATGGTAAGCATAGGCTTGACTGGGAGTATTAATCTACAGGTGTTATTAGGGATAGCATGGTGTGGGTGTTTAGAAGAGCATTATGAAGGTTAGGATTGACGTCTTCCCTCTTATTTGCTTTAGGGTGGGTGATGACCACAAGGTTCATTTTTGGTATGATTCCTAGTGTGGACAGATAACTTTGAGGAACGTTTTTCTAGATCTATTTAGAATAACAACTAATCAGGAGGGCTCAATAGCAGAGTATTGGACTCCAACTTCTGCAAGTATAGTTTGGGTTTTATTTTTTTGGAAGGCTATTCGGGATTGGGAGGTGGAGTCTGTGGGTGCTTTCCTTGGGATGCTTTAGGAAACGATTGTCTGATGTGGTGAGGGGCTAGGAGTGAATTGTTATCGATGACTTTATTTTATATGAAAGTTAGTTGGTAGAGGAGAAATTGGATTTTCTTGGCAGGGTTGCATTCTTTGGTTGGACAAGAGCTCGTGAAGCTATTCTGATGATCAACAATTTAAGAAAGACAAAACAAATTCTTCAAGGATTGGCATTATATGTGTAAAGAAAGGCAGAGGGGAAGTTTGAATCCTCTTCATTTATGTTGCTCTGTTGTGCGGGAGGACTGGGAGTGAAGTATGGTGTTCTAAGCTATCCACGTGGAGTGGATGACACATGGATAGGTTCAGGATTTATTTTCCTCTTGGAATAGAGGATGGACAAAGAGTAGATTAAGAAAGGCGTGGAAGGTTGCTCCGGTTTGGCTTGTGTTTGTGGCATGAAAGGAAAAGAAGATCCTTTAAAAACTTGGAGAGTTTGGCTCTTTGTTTGAAAGGGACAATGCTTGTCTCAGCTACTTAGCACATTCTAATCAAAGTGCATTATGGCAACACGTATGCAATACTAATGCAAACTAAATTGCAGTCATGATGCCCCCAAACAAACAAGTTGTCCCAACATGAAACAAGTTATAAAGCTGTTAAAACAGTACACTATACAATAAATGGAAATAGAGCTGATATCTGAAGTAAGCCTGCAGCAACCAAAACATAACATCACTTGTTACCATCATCTCATCAGGAAATGTGTTTGATAATACATATACATGTATTATATATATATAAACAAATCCCTCTATTTTTTAAATGATTCATATTGTCAAAAAAGCAAAAGTTCCAAGATTCTTGGAGATGTATGACAACATATAACTTAGTATGCTTGCATATCATCATTTGAGTTTCCAGTGGAGCCCTCTTGGAAATGTTTTTTTATAAGTGTTCACAAATTTTCTTTTTGTTTTAATTTTGATAAGTACTAATTAAGTAACTCTGCTCCAACAGCGCTTATTCTTGCCTCACCAAATAAACTCTGTAAAACAAAAAGGACATGCTCCCGCTGCTCCCCTCCCATGAATATTTTTAAATGATAAGTGCTTCCTGAGCATTGTTATCCAGTCCATCATAACTTTTTTGTTTTTTTGTTTTTTCTCTTTTTTAACTCTCCTTTCTTACTTGTGTTTGTATGCACAAGAGTCATTGTAGAGTGTTCTTTCTTCATTTCCTTTTTTCCTTTTTTGTGCGCATGGAATGAGAAGGGCGGTGCCTACCATAAATGTCACATAAGATAATACAGAAGTAGTTCAAAAAGCATGAGAAAAATGCACCTAGAAGGGCTTATATTCCACACATGACCAAACTAACAATAATGGAATGTCAAAAGTACAACCACACAAAATAAAAATGACCAAAAAGCATTTTGCTCATAGGTTCTTATAAAATATATGTCATCAATCTGACATGAAACGGAGTCAATGGTTTTCTATATAACCTATTCCATTATCAGCATAAGGAAAACCACTTTTGAGACAAAATATGACTATTCCCTTGCATTATGATCACCAAGAAAAACATATACTGCAGGGCATGAACAGCATGGGAACCAAGACTGCAACAAAATATACATGAGGGATTGCTGTGAAAGTATACACAAGTTTTATATTGCCTCGTGATGAAGTACACAAAGTATGCTGCTGGTAACATCAGGAAACAGCGGCAGTGCTGAATCCCATATTGACTGCAATGAATACACTCAGCACCAGAGTATTACCAGCGCCATTCCATTGGCATAATTGAAGCTACGAAGCAAACTCCAAATCAGTTTCCATTGAGTATCATCTACGGCGCTGGATAAAACCTTGTAACTCTCTCTGCCCAAATGTCCTTCCTAGAGAAGTAGCATCCTTAGACCTCACAGCAAAGTAAAATATAAGCCAAGCCACCATGAAATAAACCTCCATGGTTGATTGGAAAGCTGTCGCAAACAGTTTCCCAAAATATCGAGCCAAAGTCCATCTCGTAAATGATCCACAAAGCACTGACTCCATACATTTAAGAACCACAGCTGGCTTAAACATTGTCGATAACAAATAACACCCTTCCTTCACAATCTCTCTGCCACCCCTCCTTGCATCCACAATTGCAACCCAAGAATCGACAGCAAAAACAAATTCCACAATCATGTCTAACAAAAGCCAAGCAAACAAGAACCCTGCAGTCTCCTTCTCAAATCCGGGAATCCACGGAGACATAATTGAGAAAGGCATCAACTTTAACCTCACAAAGATCTTGAAAAACGAATACTGATCTTCCATTTCGCCGAAAAACCAGAGACCGAGAAGCTGCGTAAGCGCATCTCTCACCGCCCATCTCATAAGAATCAACCCAGAAAGCCTTTTCAAACCCAAATTCGAACCGTCCCATATAGTCCCGGTCCACGAACGACGCCTCGAAATTAAATGATTCACAACAACAACAAACACAACTCCAAGAACCCAAGAATAGGTAACTAGAAAACCTAGAACTACATACCCATATGCTACAGACAAGAAACATACAAGAAAGAACAAGGCAGAGGCGTCTCGCTTCCGGAGTTCCAAGCTCTTGATCAAGTACTGAAAAACAACAAACCTATCGGTCTCATCATCACCTTGTTTCAGTGAATTTTTCACTTTCTTCAACTCATCATTGTCATCTTCTATAGATTCTACAGTAGATTGCAATGAACTCTCGGGGAGTTTGAAAGAAACCCCCGAGCGAACAATGTCAGGAACCCTAATTCCATTATCAGTAACGAAATTCGAAAACCCTAACCTGGATTCGAAGTTGCTAAGAACTACGAAACTGCCATTGGGAGGGGACTTGGGGAGGGAACCGAAGAGGTAGCGGTCGTTGTCTTCGTCGCCGGAGAAGAAGTCGTCGTCGAGGGTTCCGACGCGGGTGAGGTGGAGAAAGGGGCGGCGGTGGCGGTGGCGGTGGCGGCGGAGGTTCACGGCGGCGGAGGAGGAGGAGGAAGAGGGGGAGTGGATTTTTGTGCCGGAAATGTCGAGGCGGGAGAGGAGGGTTTTGAGAGAGGGGTCGCGGTCGATGAAGGAGGTGAGGAGGTGAGTGCCATTCTCGACGTTGGAGCGGAAGGTGAGGATGAGGAAGGAGAGGAGGATGAATGTGAGGAGATGAGAGTAGAAGATCGAGCTCGTTTGTCTCAGGACTTGGCTGCTGGTTTCCAAGTTGAGGTTGGGAGACGCTGGCGGTGGCGCCGCCGTAGGCGACGGTGGAGGGTGGTGGTGGTGGTGGTGTTGGTGGTGGTTCATGGATTTTTAGGGTTCTTTTTGAGAATTGGTGAATCAATAATGATCAATTTGATTGAGAGAGAGAGAGACTAGTAGTGAGAGAGATACAGAGATGATTTTTTTTTAGAGTAATGTTTGACACTCCAAATATTCTATTAAAAGTTTTACTAAATGTCTCACATGGTGTGTGGGTCCCACATGGTGGGTCGATATTTGGTAAAACTTTTGATAGAATATTTAGGACTTCTAGCATTTTTGTTTTTTTTATTATTATTTGCAAAAAACAGGGTAAGAAAATAATTCAACTGCACACGTTTGTTTAGGCGCGTTGGATGGACTCGCTTTATAAATAAATACTGTAAATAAAATTTATAGAAAAATAAATAAATGAAAATAACAAATATTAATTGGGCCTCTGTTTGGGAAGTGGGTTGGATTTTGCCTTTTGTCTTTTTGAATTTTTTGATTATTTTAGTCTGGGCTAAAAAGTTTAGTTTGTGAAGAATTTTTTAGCTTTTTAACTTTTTTGACTTTTTTGTGAGAGAAAAATGTAATGATTATGGGTATAAGTTGGATGTGATATTTTATTTTTTATGACTAAAATTGTCACGACCCAAACCCGGCCCTATGGGTTTAGCACCGTAACCGGCCAGTAATCCGAGATTACCGAAGGCCTGCTTAACAGTAATACAGTAAAGACAGAGTACAGGGCCTGGCGGAAGCCAATACAGTAAATAAATAGTGTCCATTGAGCTGTGCCGTAGGCGACGGTGGAGGGTGGTGGTGGTGGTGGTGGTGGTGTTGGTGGTGGTTCATGGATTTTTAGGGTTCTTTTTTAGAATTGGTGAATCAATAATGATCAATTTGATTGAGAGAGAGAGACTAGTAGTGAGAGAGAGATACAGAGATGATTTTTTTTTAGAGTAATGCTAGAGATTTTAAATATTCTACCAAAAGTTTTACTAAATGTCTCATATGGGTGTGGGATCTCACACCTGACACATTTGGTAAAACTTTTGGTAGAATATTTGGAAATTCTAACATTTTTGTTTTTTTTTATTATTATTTGCAAAAAACAGGGTAAGAAAATAATTCAACTGCACACGTTTGTTTAGGCGCGTTGGATGGACTCGCTTTATAAATAAATACTGTAAATAAAATTTATAGAAAAATAAATAAATGAAAATAACAAATATTAATTGGGCCTCTGTTTGGGAAGTGTGTTGGCTTTTGCCTTTTGCCTTTTTGAATTTTTTAACTATTTTAGTCTGGGCTAAAAAGTTTAATTTGTGAAGAGCTTTTTGGCTTTTTAACTTTTTTGACTTTTTTGTGAGAGAAAAATGTAATGATTATGGGTATAAGTTGGATGTGATATTTTATTTTTTATGGTTAAAATAGCCTATTTTATCTTTTGTGGCTAAAATAGCCAAAAAAACCCTTTTTAACTCTTGCCAAACGGAGGCTGGATATAAATGCGATGTTTCTCCAAAAAAATATATGCAAAGTTTAAAATTTAAAAATATTTTTAATTAAAGAGACATAAATATCATCTTCTCTCTCTATTCCTTCTTCGATTCTCTTAATCAACATTTGAGCTCATAAATACCAGAAAAATTTATTTTAGAAGACTTGTTCGGACTATAGAAATTTATTCTGTAAAAGCTAACCCAAGATATCTTATATATTAAAAATTAAAAAATCATAATAGTCTAATGTCCAGATCCGTTTAGACTTATATTGAAGTTATATTTTAATTATTTAAATTGTTTATATTGTAAGATTCGTCTAGTAAATCATTTATATAAAAAATTAAGTTAGTTAAATATCTACAACTCTACATGAAGACCACATTTGTTTTTTAAAAAATAAACGATTAACATAATTTTGATAATTTTTTGTAAAATTAATTAGACTTGATCTTTTTTAAGACCTAATCCTGAGATATGAATGTCTGATTCATTTAATTTTTTTTATAAATTATATACTCAATAAATTTTATAATATAAATAGATTAAATTATCAAAATAGACTACCAGGAAAAAGAAAAAAAAGAAAAAAAAAAAACTCAAAGAGCTTCAACTGCTATTATGTCATAAGGCACACTAGCCTTTTATATATTAATTAAGAGTATGGCTTTCGTCCAGTTTAGAATCGGATTGGATCGTATTGTTGGGCCTGTAGAACTCACCACGAGTCCTGTTTTGATAATCTGAACCGTCAATGTGTAGAACTCGTCGAGTACTATATGCCTATAAAAAATCACGTTGATCGGATATCGATGGTTATATGATCAAATCAGTTTCGTATCAAAAAAATTGGACGGTGAATAAATTAACGGTTGACAAAAACTATTTTGATCACATAGCTATCGATATTCGATCAACATGATTTTTTAAAGGCATATAGTACTCAACGAGTTCTACACATTTACGGTTCAGATTATCAAAACGGGACCCATGGTGGACTCCCGTGAGCCCAACAGCACGGTCCAGTTCGATCCCAAACTGAACAGAAGCCATACCTATTAATTAATCTCTTAGGTAAGGTTAGGTGTCAAAAATATTAAAAGTTTCAAATGGTTTCCAATTAGTCGTATATGAATAGCAAATTAGGAATTCAAATTTTCTATTTACATGTAAAAATCTTATTTTTCTTGTATATTTGTTTAGATTTTTCTCTTTTATTTTATAAATTCTTTCTATTAATTATATACTAGTGAAAATTAGCACGGGATGATGAAGGAGGTGAGGAGGTGAGTGCCATTCTCGACGTTGGAGCGGAAGGTGAGGATGAGGAAGGAGAGGAGGATGAATGTGAGGAGATGAGAGTAGAAGATCGAGCTCGTTTGTCTCAGGACTTGGCTGCTGGTTTCCAAGTTGAGGTTGGGAGACGCTGGCGGTGGCGCCGCCGTAGGCGACGGTGGAGGGTGGTGGTGGTGGTGGTGGTGGTGTTGGTGGTGGTTCATGGATTTTTAGGGTTCTTTTTTAGAATTGGTGAATCAATAATGATCAATTTGATTGAGAGAGAGAGACTAGTAGTGAGAGAGAGATACAGAGATGATTTTTTTTTAGAGTAATGCTAGAGATTTTAAATATTCTACCAAAAGTTTTACTAAATGTCTCATATGGGTGTGGGATCTCACACCTGACACATTTGGTAAAACTTTTGGTAGAATATTTGGAAATTCTAACATTTTTGTTTTTTTTTATTATTATTTGCAAAAAACAGGGTAAGAAAATAATTCAACTGCACACGTTTGTTTAGGCGCGTTGGATGGACTCGCTTTATAAATAAATACTGTAAATAAAATTTATAGAAAAATAAATAAATGAAAATAACAAATATTAATTGGGCCTCTGTTTGGGAAGTGTGTTGGCTTTTGCCTTTTGCCTTTTTGAATTTTTTAACTATTTTAGTCTGGGCTAAAAAGTTTAATTTGTGAAGAGCTTTTTGGCTTTTTAACTTTTTTGACTTTTTTGTGAGAGAAAAATGTAATGATTATGGGTATAAGTTGGATGTGATATTTTATTTTTTATGGTTAAAATAGCCTATTTTATCTTTTGTGGCTAAAATAGCCAAAAAAACCCTTTTTAACTCTTGCCAAACGGAGGCTGGATATAAATGCGATGTTTCTCCAAAAAAATATATGCAAAGTTTAAAATTTAAAAATATTTTTAATTAAAGAGACATAAATATCATCTTCTCTCTCTATTCCTTCTTTGATTCTCTTAATCTACATTTGAGCTCATAAATACCAGAAAAATTTATTTTAGAAGACTTGTTCGGACTATAGAAATTTATTCTGTAAAAGCTAACCCAAGATATCTTATATATTAAAAATTAAAAAATCATAATAGTCTAATGTCCAGATCCGTTTAGACTTATATTGAAGTTATATTTTAATTATTTAAATTGTTTATATTGTAAGATTCGTCTAGTAAATCATTTATATAAAAAATTAAGTTAGTTAAATATCTACAACTCTACATGAAGACCACATTTGTTTTTTAAAAAATAAACGATTAACATAATTTTGATAATTTTTTGTAAAATTAATTAGACTTGATCTTTTTTAAGACCTAATCCTGAGATATGAATGTCTGATTCATTTAATTTTTTTTATAAATTATATACTCAATAAATTTTATAATATAAATAGATTAAATTATCAAAATAGACTATATGGTGAAGCCCAATGGCTCAGATATATGATAACTTTATGAGCTTAAACAAAACAAAATATCTATAAGATGCTTTTTAATGTTAAAAACATAAATAAAGAAAAATTCATTTTCTTCTCTAATTATGATCATTTTTTTTTAGTTATGACTTATGAGATCTTTGGTTATACCTCATGTGATTTTTGATTATGACTTTTATTTTTTATTTTTTTATATTTATGACTCCGAAACTATGGAGTTATGACATTATTTATTTATTTATTTTATTTATGGTTAAAAGGTACATATGGGTGTGTACTAGTCTTTCCCTGCCCCTATCTATTTATAAATTAAGGAAAATGAGATTTTTAATGAGAAATTCTCTAATACCTCCAAAGTCTTAAATTAAATTTTTTGATTTTTGATAATTATAAATTCACTCTATTTCTTGCGTGGCTTATTCTTCTCACTCAATCCTTATTTTTGTTGATTTTTTGAATTTTAAAAAACTCCACCAAAGGCACAATCCCTTCTCTCAAACTTCTTTCCACTCTTTCATTTACATATATTTACCTTTCCGTTTCTCTCCTCCTCTTCTTCAATTTCGGTTTTCAAGTTTTCATGGGCTTGTGCTGTTGTAGGAATTGGGGTTGCTGCTGCGCGGCCCGCACAACAGCAACTGTTGTGCATCGAAATGGGTCCATTTTGATAATTCGAACCGTTCACATTTTAGAATACATCAAGTAGAACATACTTGCCAAAAATCAAGTTAATCGGACATCGTTTACCCATTCATCCACTCACATTTGTATCTACAAAAATAAATAATAACTGTGATTTAAAGTATTAAAATAAA